AGACACACCTCGTTCCCTCTCTGTTTCTCTCTGGCAAGTCTACATGCCCTCTGGCAATTAAAAAAAATAAAAGATTACAGCCTAAGTATATTGATATAAGGAGCATATTGATATGAGGGTCTGACACAGTTTTTCAGTATTTTTATAATCTCCCCTTTATTTTAGAAATTGCTGTAGGGTACATACAGAGTAAGCATGAACTCGGGGACATTAGGGAGATTGATTGATTAGTCAAGATAAAACCAAGAACTTCACTGTTTTCTAAAAGCAAGCTCAAGAAAAAAAATTACATTCCATGCTAGATTTCTATTCAGTTAAATTCCTTGTCTCTTCCCTGCCGGGGAGAGACAGAGAGAAGGAGAGAGAGAGAGATTAACCCTCCCTCTTTTAAAAAATAAATTGCTCTAGCGTGAATACACTTGTGGGAGAGAAACAAGAAAAAGGAGAGAGAGAGAGAGGAAAAGTGAGAAATCATCTCCTGGAGGGGATGACCATGCTGCAATTCTTTCTCCTTTATTCTCCTCACAGGATTTTGGCCACGCACACACACTTGCCCAGTGCAGTTCTCTGGGACTTGAACCACACAGTCAGCCATGTGGGATCTAGTACCTCAGCCTTTATGCCACCTGTGGGCCCAATGTTTTTATAATTTTCCAACATTTATATATGATGTGAAATAGGTTTATTTTACTTTGTATATCAAATATACAATTGTATTATTTAATTTTATCGGTGAATAAGATTGAGAGCCATTCTTAGAAAAATCCTTCCTCTAAGTAACTTCAGCGGGATACTTCAGATAAGTGGTCATGGGTACCCACAAAATTCCGGTTAATTTTTTTTTTTTGAGAGGTTTTCGCTATAGGGCACATGTGCTTGCCAGACAGACAGAGAGAGACATAGAGACAGAAAGTGAGAAATCACCCCCCATGGGGGATGGTCACGCCACAATCCCTTCTCCTCCATTATCCTTTTGGGATCTTGGGCACGCATGCACACGCACCCGGCATGAGTTTAAGCCACCGGGTCCAGGACTTGAACCACAGTCGACTACATGGAGTTAAGCAACATAGCCATTAGGCTAACTGCTGGTCCCCTGGAAGAAAACTTTTTAAACCTAGAAAGACATTCAAAGATCCAGACCCGAGAAATACATAGGACCCCAAATAGAATCAACCCAAGAAGATCTTCTCCAAGACACATTATAGCCAGATTGACCAAAACCACAGACAAGACAAGGTACTCAGACTGGCAAGATAGAAACAACAAGTTATAGACAAAGGATATCCCATCAGGTTAACAGCGGACCTCTCGTCAGAAACAATGCGAGCAAGGAAAGAATGGGAAAATATATTCAAAGTGTTGAGTGAAAAACAATTTCAACCGAGAATACTCTATGCAGCAAGATTATCCTTCACATGGGAAGAAAAGACAAGAACATTCTCAGATAAACAAAACCTGAAAGAATTTAACGGCACCAGACCAGTTCTCCAAGAATTTTTGAAGGGAGTGTTATATCAGAAAAACTAAAGTCAGACACAAAGAAACAAGAGTTAAAAAAACATCTAAGAAAGGGTCAGCTTAACGGTAGGGACAAGTCCAGAGTTGAAGATTGTCTTCTAGAATTTATAAACGGAAGGCCTGGACAACAGAAATTAGATTAAGTACATGAGACTGAGCTGATGAAATAGAATTTTATGGCTTTTGACTAAAGCAATACTGATCTTTTTCTATGCTTTGTAGTCCAGAGATAGGGGTTCTTTTCTTCTCTTGAACTGTAGACAGATCCAGGTAACTACTATCTGAACAGACTCCTAACCTGCTTCTTGGCTTTAAGTCTTAAGCAAAGTTCTCTTAACATTTTTTGATTTTGATTAAAGCTAAAACTGCCTTTCTTGAAATTAGAAAAATATATTTTTAAAAAAAAGTGAGAAAGCACTGGCCATGGAAAAAAATCACGCCACAATCCCTTCTCCAGTTCTCCCTCCTTTTGCAATTTTGGGCAAGCATGCACGTGCATCCAGCATTTTTTTTTTTTTTGAGAGAGATCATTGTGATAGGGAGTGCGTGCTTGCCGGAGAGACAGAGATAGAAGCAAGAAATTACCCCTTGGCAGGGGGGATAGCCATGCCACAATCCCTTTTCCTCCATTCTCCTCTCAAGGTTTTGGGCATGCACACACATATATGCCCAACATCGGTTTCAAACCACTGGGTCCAGGACTTGAACCATGGCTGACTATGTGGGAATCAGCATCATAAGCATTACCCTCTTCTGCTGGTCCTGTGCCCAGCATGTTTTTAAAGTTGCCCTAGGGACCAGCGTAATGGCTATATCACTGGACTCCCATGTAGTCAACTTTTTGAAGGGAGTGTTATATCAGAAAAACTAAAGTCAGACACAAAGAAACAAGAGTTAAAAAAACATCTAAGAAAGGGTCAGCTTAACGGTAGGGACAAGTCCAGAGTTGAAGATTGTCTTCTAGAATTTATAAACGGAAGGCCTGGACAACAGAAATTAGATTAAGTACATGAGACTGAGCTGATGAAATAGAATTTTATGGCTTTTGACTAAAGCAATACTGATCTTTTTCTATGCTCTGTAGTCCAGAGATAGGGGTTCTTTTCTTCTCTTGAACTGTAGACAGATCCAGGTAACTACTATCTGAACAGACTCCTAACCTGCTTCTTGGCTTTAAGTCTTAAGCAAAGTTCTCTTAACATTTTTTGATTTTGATTAAAGCTAAAACTGCCTTTCTTGAAATTAGAAAAATATATTTTTAAAAAAAAGTGAGAAAGCACTGGCCATGGAAAAAAATCACGCCACAATCCCTTCTCCAGTTCTCCCTCCTTTTGCAATTTTGGGCAAGCATGCACGTGCATCCAGCATTTTTTTTTTTTTTTTGAGAGAGATCATTGTTATAGGGAGTGCGTGCTTGCTGGAGAGACAGAGATAGAAGCAAGAAATTACCCCTTGGCAGGGGGGATAGCCATGCCACAATCCCTTTTCCTCCATTCTCCTCTCAAGGTTTTGGGCATGCACACACATATATGCCCAACATCAGTTTCAAACCACTGGGTCCAGGACTTGAACCATGGCTGACTATGTGGGAGTCAGCATCATAAGCATTACCCTCCTCTGCTGGTCCTGTGCCCAGCATGTTTTTAAAGTTGCCCTAGGGACCAGCGTAATGGCTATATCACTGGACTCCCATGTAGTCAACTGCAATTCGCATCCCGGAGCAATTCGCATCCCGGACCTGGTGGCTTAAAATTCATGCCGGACGCGTGTGGGTGCATGCCCAAGATCCTGAGAGGAGAATGGAGGAGAAGGGATTGCGGTGTGGCCATCCCCCCTGGAGGGTGATTTCTCGCTTTCTGTCTCTCTGTCTGTCTCTGTCTGTCTGGCGAGCGCACGCACCCTATAGCAAAAACCTCCAAAAATAAATAAATAAATAAAAATAAAGTTTTCCTGTCCAGGACTTGAACTGCACAGTCAGCTATGTGGGATCCAGCCACCTTAACCACCACACCATGGGCTGGACTGTCTTTTCCATTCTATTTTTTTTTTCTTCCTAATAATTTCTTCTGAAAACAAACTTCGTGAAAATGCCATGTCTAAATACGCATTACCAGATTACTAGGAGCTCTTGAGATTCTGGGTTACAGATTCCGAATGTGCAGTACTACCTTGGTAACATCTGACTCCATTACTTCTTCCAGCTGTTCCTTTAACTGAGCCATCTCAACGTTTGGGGTTTGCTCTTCACTCCTACTCTGTTGCTGAAGTTTTGCATTTTCATTTTTGACTTCATTGATCTGTTGCTGAAGTTTCGCATTCTTAGCTCTTTCATTTTCGTACATGGATTGCAAATTATTAACTTGAACAACCAATTTTTCAAGTCTAGATTTCAATTTCTGTGTTTCTTCCAGGTTGTTCTTTTCATATTTCTGGAACTCTTGTTCTTGGACCTTTCTTTCCCTTTTCAGCAGGTCCAGAGCAGAAGTGGTAGCCTTTTCCAATTCTTCCTTGAGGCGCTGCAGTCTTGCCACCTCTTCTTCTTTCTTGCTTAAAGTTTTGTCCATCTCTATGCAATAACTTACAGATCTGTTTTTCTGTCGTATTGCACTTATGCACCTTTTCTGTAAACGCACATAATTGATCTTGATCTTTTTCAGTTCAAGCTGTAAGTTTCCCTTCTCTTTCTTAGATTCTTGAAGACGTTTTTGGGTGTTGGCTAAAACCTCTTGTGAATTCTGCAAAGTCTTGTTAATCCCATTCTTCTCTAGCATTATCGTGTATTTGTCTTCGATTAAGTCTTCAACATTCTCCTTTAGCTTATTTATGATCTTGACGAGTCCTTGCTGTTTGGTCATCTTCATCTGTAGTTCTTTGACCTTTTCCTCTAAATACAGGTTAGTACACTGCAGGTCTTGGATCTGTGTTTGCTGCTTTCTGTTAGTATGTTTTAATTTCCGCAAGATGTCATTTAAGGCCATGTCCTCGTCTGGGGATTGGAAGCTTTCAAAACTGTGTTCTGTGCCAGGTGTCCCGCAGTTCTCCCGAAACATGCTGCTAGTCCAGGAGATGCCAGCCGGGGACCAAGCAGAGACAGCCTCTGGACTGTCTGTACCCACCTCAGTGACTTCCTTTGGGTGACTGACTGACATCTCAGAAATCTCCCCAGAATTCAGTATTTCGTAGGAAGAAACTGCAGTCTGTAAATGTGGTAAACAAAACAAGTGTGAAAGAGTAGAGAGGTAACGAGCTTCAGAGTTACACAGAGCTGGCCTTAAACCTTAGAGATTCCCAGCTCCAAAATATTACTGTATTACTTCTAATAGTAACACTTACTTAAAAGTTAATTTCTAAATTAATGCTTAATATGTACACAGCACCTAAGAGCACAGCAGGACACAAGCAGGGAGTAGATGCTAGAGATGTATATCACATACATTTTGAAAAAAAATTAATAAACTTTGAAACTCACCATTTCTGTAATGCAATTTTTTTTGTTTTGTTTTTTAGAGATTTTTCACTATAGGGCACGTGCACTCACCATAAAGACAGAGATAGAAAGCGAGAAATCACCCCCCAGGGGGGATGGCCATGCTGCAATCCCTTCTCCTCCATTCTCCTCTTGGGATCTTGGGCATGCATGCACACGTGCCCGGTGTGAGTTTAAGCCACCGGGTCCGGGACTCGAACCGCGGTTGACTACATGGGAGTCCAGCGACATAGCCATTACGCTGACTGATGGTCTCTGTACTGCATTTTTTCCTGAACAAATATAAGATGCTTCCTTTAGCTTCAAATGGATTAAAACAAATAAATGTATTGATCACCTGATAGACTATGAGGTAACTTTGGAATAAAGACTTTAAATTTCTCATTTAGACTCTTATCTCACTATGCTATGACTCCTGTGGACATTAAAATGATAGGAGAATATGCCTCACGATTGACTTTATGCCCACAATATAGGTTTTGAGGGGCTTAAAAAAACAGTAGCAGGCCAGCTGATGGTGTGGTGGTTAAGGTGGCTGGATCCCACATGATGGACTGTGCAGTTTGAATCCTGGACTCAGCAGCTACAAAACGTCCCAGGTTGGCCAGGTCCATGGTCTGGTGGTTAAAGAGCCAGAGCTCATGGCTTACTGCACAGATCGAGTTCTGGACTCAGTGGCTTGAGGAACATGCCAGGTACATGTGCATGCATGCCCCAAATCCCCCAAAATGAGGAAGAGATGGAGAAGGGATTACAATGTGACTATTCACCATGGAGGTGCTTCCTCCTCTTTCTCTGGGACCAGTAGGTGGTGTAGCAGTTAACGTGCTGGACTCTCCCATGGCCAACCATGGTATGAGTTCCAGACCTGGAGGTTTGAAACTCATATTGGGTGCATGTATTTGCATGCCCCAAATCCCAAGAGAATGGAGGTGAAAGGATTTGGTGTGGCCATCCCTACGGAGGAGGGGTTCACTTTTTCTCTCTCTCTTTCTCTCTGGTGAGTGCACGTACCCTATTTCAAAAATGAAAGAAATAATAAAGAAAAGAAGAACATGCCAGGCACATGTGAGTGCATGCCCAAAATCCCGAAAGAAAAATGGAAAAGGGATTGTGGTGTGACCATTCCCCACGAGGAGTGGTGGTGGGGGGGGAGAGGTGCTTTCTCCTTTTCTTGCTCTTCTGTCTCTCCCCAGTGCGTGCATGCAGCCTCTAACAAACTAAAATAATAATTATATACACACAACATTTAGATATTGGGCTCTTGGATTTTAATGGTTTTTCATCACTCTGGGATAAAGGCAATTCTCTCTGTGGCATAAAAGGCTCTGCTATCTGCTCTGATATCTGGCATTGCTATTTCTTCCCCCTCGTCTGTGTTAGGTTGTTGGGAAAGTCGTGACTGTACTTTTCTATGTTTTTCTATGCAAAAATGGTTCCCCAACCACCCAGTACCTCTCCTGCTCCCTCCAACCCTGGACTTCCTGGACACTGGGCTTCCTTCAGGTCCTAGTAGGTACCATGCTCCCTGCAGCCACGGGTTTTCCAGATGTTCCTTCTGTGCCCAGGGCTAACCCACATCTGCATATTTAACTCCTACTCATCCTTTAGAGTTCAGCTCAGTGACCACTTCAGGGAAGCCTTCTCTGGACTTTCTGATGAGGGCAGAATCCTTGCAGATGCTGGTGCTAAATAGCAACAGCATTTGTTGCAGGTTTATATGGAACTTTCTCTAAGGTTATGTACACATAAACCAGCAGGTGTCATAGCGTAGGACTTGCGCATAACAGAAAGTACCTACTGACTGAAACAAAGATTAAATGCAATGGAAAGCATGGGAAACACTTTGGAGAAACTGTAATTAAACAATTTTGTTTGTTTCTTAGTTTCGCCACAGGGCGAGAAATCACTCCCCAGGAGCATGGCCATGCTTCAATCCCTCCTCCTCTATTCTCCTCGGAATTTTGGATAAGCACACATGCACTCAGCATGGTTTTCAAACTACTGGGTCCAGGACTCAAACCACGCAGTTGGCCATGTGAGATCCAGCAGCCTTAACCACCATGCCACCTGGCTGGTCCTAAGCAGACTTTTAAGTTGTTTTCAGAAGTCAATATGGGAAAATAAAGTTCTCTTTTAAATGCTACCATCTTCTTTCAAATAAATGAACAGTAACAAAAATGCTTATTTATAAATGAAGGCTTATAATAGTCATGGTTTTCTCATCAAACTCACATTGAAAACATACTATTTATACTATTCTCGGGGTATATGTATTTGCCCACACCAAACCTTAGGATCTTTATTTTCTTGTTCAGAAAGTACACAGAATTTAAACTGTCAGTATCTTTGATGCTGTTAGGACACCATGTGTGTGCTCAGAAACAATAAACCAAAAGACGAATGATTTCACTTTGGTAGAAAAATAAGTATTTTTTGCTGGCCAGTAGAAACCCAACATGACATGGGCCCAGCAGTTGGCGTAATGGCTATGTCGCTGGACTCCCATGTAATTGACCACGGTTTGAGTCCTGGACCCGGTGGCTTAAACTCATGCCGGGCGCATGTGCATGTGTGCCCAAGATCCTGAGAAGAGAATGGAGGAGAAGGGATTGCAGCGTGGTCATCCCTCCTGGGGGGTGATTTCTCACTTTCTGTCTCTCTCTGTCTTTCTGGCGAGCACATGCACCCTATAGCAAAAACCTCTCCCCCCACAGAAAAAGAAACCCAATATGACAGAAAAATATGAAGCTTTTTTTTTTTTTTTTGGTCAAAGAAGTAACACCTCTGTACTCCTTCATCTTCTCAATCTTTTTTGAGAGATTTTTGCTATAGGACATGTGTGCTCACCAGAGAGACAGAGACACACAGAGAGAGATAAAGGAAAAAAAATCAGGGGGTGGCCACACCACAATCCCTTCTTCATTTTCCCCTGGGATTTTGGGCATGCACACACACGTGCCCAGTGTGAGTTTCAAGCCACCGGGGTCCAGGACTTGAACCACAGTCAGCCATGTGGGAGTCCAGCGAGGCAACCATTACACCATCTGCTGGTCCCTCCTCTTCTCAATCTTTCCCTTACTGTCAATTCTGTGAATTCCAGTACATAATTCAACAAATAAAGATGATTGTATTCAGGACACCAGGTAGATACTATAGTACATAGAAGGGTAAGATAGTTCCGAGCCTCATAAAAATTATCATTTGGGGGCCCAGCAGTTAGCGTAATGGCTATGTCGCTGGACTCCCATGTAGTCGACTGTGGTTTGCGTCCAGACCCGGTGGCTTAAAACTCATGCCAGGCACGTGTGCATGTGTGCCCAAGATCCCGAGAGGAGAATGGAGGAGAAGGGATTGCGGCGTGACCATCCCCCCGGGGGGTGATTTCTTGCTTTCTGTCTCTCTCTCTCTGTCTGGCAAGCGCACGTGCCCTATAGCAAAAACTCCCCCCCCCGCAAAAAAAAAATTATCATTTGGTGAGCTAGTCCCAAATATGTACTTGATTTTAGGGGACCAGCAGTTAGTGTAATGGCTATGTCACTGGACTCCCATGTAGTCGACCGTGGTTTGAGTCCTGGACCTGGTGGCTTAATCTCACGCCAGGCGCATGTGTGTGTGTGCCCAAGATCTTGAGAATGGAGGAGAAGGGATTGTGGTATGGCCATTTCCCCCTGGGGGGGGGGGTGACTTCTTGCTTTCTGTTTTCTGTCTCTCTGGCGAGTGCACGTGCTTTATATTAAAAACTTCTCTAAAAATATATATACTTTATTTTATTAGAAAAATGTGTTCCTGCATTGGTTAAGAGCTCAGAATACTTATTCTCTTGAGAAACAAAGTCTTTCACGCTGGTTTAAATCATCTAATGCTATTTGAAATAATCTCAGATTACATACATATGTGCATTTAAAGAACAAGAAAACGTACCCTTTCATACTCCCCAGGCTTTACTGGTCAACACTCTTACCTCCTCTGTCGTATAATTAACTCTCAAGTCCAGTGGACTAAAGCTATTTTCTGTATAAAACGGTTTTCTGCCACTCCTTTGTATACTTTCTTCGTATAAGAAGCTTTGAGGTTGGTTGGGATGGAGGGCGGATTCCCTGGCAGTGCTTTCAGCCAGTGAGTTTTCAGAGTAGGACAATGTCTCTCCACTGCCGGGGGTTACAGGAGGGCTTCTAGGAGGTGGTCTGACATATGCATTAGCAAGTCGGTTTTGATTTGTGGAAATGCTAGTTCTCATGGGGTTTTCTTCCTTAAATGAATCTTCTTCTTGTGCGTAATTATACAAATGGCCCCGTAATTCCGGCTTCTCTGTGTATGATGAGCCTTCTGTTGGATTGTGAAATATTGTCATTTCACTGTTAAATTCTGTCCAGTGAAATTTACAAATGGGTTCAAATTGTCTCATGGATGAAATGCTGGCATCGATTGGCTGAATTAGTACCTTCTGTGAGTAATTTCTAATATTGATATCTCATTGGAAAGAGAAAACGGAAATAAGAGTGAGTTGACCAGAAATTAATAATAACATTTATATTTATGAAATGGAGACTTATAAGAATGATGTATTATTCAAACCTTACTAACAGGCCAAAAGGTGGCTTGATGGTTAAGATGTGGGACTCTCACATGGTCAACAGTGGTTCGAGTCCCAGACCCAGTGGCTTGACAATCACACCAGGCATGTGTGCATGGATGCCCAGAATCCCAGGAGGAGACCAGAGGAGAGGGGCTGTGGTATGGCCATCCCCCTATGGGGTGATTTCTCACTTTTCCTCTCACTGTCTCTCTTAAGCACGAGCTCTATGAAAGAAAATTGAAAACAAAAAACCTTTTTCATTGAGTGGATTTCAGCGTGGCTTTAAGCTAGTAAAGAAAACAAAATACATTTCATGTGGGGGAAGTCGGTCCCCAAATGACTTACAAAACGACTTGGTACACATCATTCTGGTTAAATACTATTAGACAAATTCCAAGATAGCTTCAAAATTCTAAAATTTTTAAATGTTTTATTTATAAAATGTTTCAAAAAGATGTTTAAAGCCACAGAGAACAACGTAATAGCAAATACGCTTATGTGTTTACCCCTGTTTTACAGATAGGGAAACTAAAACCTTCCAGATGCTGGGGACAGCAGGTGGCATAGTGGCTAAGGCGTTGATCTCCCACCTGGTCGACTGTGGTTTGAGTCCAGGACCTATCGGCTTGCTTTCTTGCTTTCTTTCTTTGGCTCTCTCTCTCGATCATGAACACACATGCCCTGTAGCAAATTTAAAATAATAATAATAATAATAATAATAATTTTTAAAAGTAAATAATTATTTTTATTTTATTTTTATTTTTTGAAGAGTTTTTTGCTATAGGGTATCATGAACACGCATGCCCTGTAGCAAATTTAAAATAATAATAATAATAATAATAATAATTTTTAAAAGTAAATAATTATTTTTATTTTATTTTTATTTTTTGAAGAGTTTTTTGCTATAGGGTGTGAACACTTGCCAGACAGAGAGAGATCACCCCCGGGGGGATGGCTATGCTGCCGTCCCTTCTCCTCCATTCTCCTCTTGGGATCTTGGGCACACATGCACACATGCCCGGCGTGAGTTTAAGCCGCCGGGTCCTGGGACTGAACCGCAGTTGACTACATGGGAGTCTAGTGACATAGCCATGACACTAACTGCTGGTCCCAAAAGTAAATAATTTTTTGAAAAGAGATGTTAAGTCACTTGCTTAAGGTCACACAGCTGTTCAACAGTGCAGCTGTGGTTCTAAAATACAACTTTTGGATGGAATGCTAAATTATTTCTCAAAATGACAAATTATCCAGGTTAATACAGATTTAAAAACTAAGGAAATAAGACAAAATGCAAAGAAATAAAATGGTACAAAGTGAACAATCCTCCCTTCTATCTCACTTTCTGTCCTTTCCTCACCCCAGAGATAACCAACATACTGAAGCCTGTGTGCCTAACTTTGCAAAATAAGACTATAGAAAAGACTATAATATAGGGGATCAGCAGTTAGCGTAATGGCTATGTCGCTGGACTCCCATGTAGTCGACCGCGGTTCGCGTCTCGGACCTGGTGGCTTAAAACTCACGCCGGGCTGGGAACCAGCAGTTAGCGTAATGGCTATGTCGCTGGACTCCCATGTAGTCGACCGCGGTTCGCGTCTCGGACCTGGTGGCTTAAAACTCACGCCGGGCTGGGAACCAGCAGTTAGCGTAATGGCTATGTCGCTGGACTCCCATGTAGTCGACCGCGGTTCGCGTCTCGGACCTGGTGGCTTAAAACTCACGCCGGGCTGGGAACCAGCAGTTAGCGTAATGGCTATGTCGCTGGACTCCCATGTAGTCGACCGCGGTTCGCGTCTCGGACCTGGTGGCTTAAAACTCACACCAGGCGCGTGTGCGTGTGTGCCCAAGATCCTGAGAGGAGAATGGAGGAGAAGGGATTGAGGTGTGACCATCCCCCCTGGGGGGTGATTTCTCGCTTTCTGTCTCTCTGTCTGTCTGGCGAGCGCACGCGCCCTATAGCAAACCGCCCCCCCAAAAAAAGGACTATAATATAGATTTATATTGAAATCATCAAATACCTTGAGCTAGTAGCTGATGGGGTTTGACAAGTGTCTAGGATCACCGTTTCCCTCAAATTTCAAAATACTCTGCAACACCCCGGCAAATTGTGAATATATAGTATTGTTTCATGTACTTTAAAATTTTACACAAATAGTGTCCTACTACATATATATACATATAAATAGACTTTATTTCACTGAAAGTTTGCTTTTGAGACTTAACCACATAAGTACATATATTTTTGTTTGTTTCTAGGTTTTCGCCATAGGGTGTATGTGCTCAGCAGAGAGAGGGAAATGGCCACGCTGCAGTCCCTTCTCCTCCATTCTCCCCTCGGGAGCATGCATATGTATGTGTTCAGTGCATTTTCCAAACTGCTGGGTCTGGGCCTTGAACTGTGTTGTTGACCATGTGGGATCCAGTAGCCTACACCATTACAGCACCTGCTGGCCCCTCCATCTGGTGTACTCTATGTTGGATTCTACTTTATTCCCTGTTACTTGGCTACATTGCTTCTAATTTTACTATTAAAAACAGCGCAGTAGGGCTGGCCGCAGTGGCACAACAGCGACACAATGGTCTGTGATTCTGGACACAATGGGAAGGTCTCCCGGTGCGTGCCAGGTACACGTGCCCAAACCCATCATCGGGGGTGGCTGAGGCTGGGGTTGGATGGCAGCACCTTGTTGCAGGTGCCTCTCTCTCTCTTTTCTTCTCATTCTGTTTCTCTCTTTGAAGAAATTACAAGACCAGCAGTTAGTGTAATGACTGTATCGCTGGACTCCCATGTAGTCGACCGTGGTTTGAGTCCCGGACCCAGTGGCTTAAACTCATGCCGGGCGCGTGTGCGTGCGTGCCCAAGATCCCGAGAGGAGAATGGAGGAGAAGGGATTGCGGTGTGGCCATCACCCCTGGGGGGTGATTTCTCACTTTCCGTCTCTCTGTCTCTCTCTGTCTTTCTGGTGAGAGCATGCGCCCTATAGCAAAAACCTCTCAAAAAAAAAAATCTCCATTTCATAGGCTTGTTTGCAAATTAAATGTGATCATGGATATAAAGAGTTCAGCACTGTACCTAGTATTGTTACTGCTGTTATCACAGGACGCAAATCTGTTTCTTCGTTCTGCGTGGGCCAAGGAGATACTCACCACCTAACAAATTGTCTAGTGCATTGTAGATCTCTTCAGAAAGTGTGGATTGAGACTCGTTTTCCCTTTTTACATTCTTTATTTCATTCTGTATTAACAAAAAAGATATTAACATTAATACTTCAAGCAAACGTGCGCTTTTTTGGAAAGGTTTATGTACATTGCTATGTGTAATCTTTCTTTTTTAAAAAAAGAATTAATTAATTAATTAATTAATTAAATCAGACAGGGAAAGGGAAAGTGAGAAAGCAAGCCACCAGGTCTGGGAGTTTGAACTGTGGTCAGCCACATGGGAATCCAGTGCCTTAATCACATGCTATTTGTGGGCCCCAACTATGTATAATGATTCTGTAAGACATTTTTTCTTTCTTGTGCAGGTATAATGTGTCATTCAAGACCTCTCTCTACTGCATATTCGGCTATCGTTTAGGAACGCCACGCTGAAAGTCATAATACCAAATGGTAATTAAATGAACAGCTTGCAATTTCAGTATTTTGTGTTTCACTAAGTCAAATCATGTGCCCATTAATAGTGAAAACTGAGGGGAACCAGCAGTTAGCATAATGGCTATGTTGCTGGACTCCCATGTAGTCGGCTGCGGTTCGCGTCCTGGACCCGGTGGCTTAAAACTCATGCCAGGCGCGTGTGCGTGCGTGCCCAAGATCCCGAGAGGAGAATGGAGGAGAAGGGATTGCGGTGTGACCATTCCCCCTGGGGGGGTGATTTCTCGCTTTCTGTCTCTATGTCTCTCTCTGTCTGGCGAACGCACATGCCCTATAGCGAAAATCTCTCCAAAAAAAAAAAAATAGTGAAAACTGAGAAAATTGATATAGCTATAGCTTATGGATAATTCTTTTATCTTTTTAAAATCTGGCTTAAACAGCACAAGAGTTCTTTTTAGTCTAATCTTTCAGCATTGAAAATGAATGAGGGTCCAGTAATAAAGTGATATTTGATTCCACTCAGGCTTATTCACGTAGGGCTCATTCTCAAAGTTACCTTACTGGTGTCTAAGATGAAAGAGTTTATACATTAATTAAGGGCCTGTCCTGTGGCCTAACAGTTAAGAGAGCTGGATCCCACATGGCTGGCTGCTATCTGAATTCTGGCTTTAGTGGCTTCAAAAACACACCAGGTGCGTGCGTGCATGTCCCCAATTCCAACAGGATGGAGGAATGGAAAAGACGGGTGTGGACATGACCATGTCCCATTGGGGGCTACTTTCTCCTTCTCTCTCTTTCTTTCTCTCTGGCAAACACACATACTCACGCTTTGTCTCACTCTGGCAAGCACACATAACCTCTGGCAAATTTGTAAGTATGAATAAATGATAACAAAGATATTCAAGATGTTTAAAGAACACATTGTTTTAATCACTAAGAATACATTAATATCAAGCATATGGACCTAAACGATGCTCTGAAAAAAAAAATCTTCCATCTTTTTTTTTTTTAAGAGGTTTTTTTACTTTAGGGTCCATGCACTCAATAGAGAAAGAGAGACAGAGACAGTGAGAGGGAGAATGAAAAATCACCCCCAAGGGGGAATGGCTGTGTTACAATCCCTGGGACCTTGGGCATGCACATACACATGCTACCAGTCTGGGACTGGAACTACAGTTGGCCATGTGCGAGTCCAGCAACGTAACAGCTATGCCATCTGCTCAGCTTATAGCCTACCCCTTCTTAAAGTCAGCTGATGACAAACCCTTACTCAATAATGCTTCTGTTTAGAGAGATAATTTTTGGAATAGGGTGCATGCACTCGCCAGAGAGACAGACAGAATGAGAATCATTCCCCATGGGGGTGGCCATGCCACAATCCCTTCTCCTCCATTGTCCTCTTGGGATTTAGGGCACACATGCCCGGGTCTGGGACCCGAACTGTGGTCAGCCATGAAAGTCTAGTGACATAACCATTACGCCATCTGCTGGTCCCATAGAAACAATCAGTTTTAACACTCTACATTCATTGTACGCTAATGGAGCAGGGAAAGCTAGACCCTGTAAGGGGGAGGGAGAGTCTGAGTAAAGTTTACAGAAATGCATATTATACAAAAAGTGTGCATGGATTTAAATTTTCTTTGTACCAAAATAAACTTGTACTTTAATCCCATTTTTTCATAAATGGTTTGAAGTCCCCTCATATTCCCCTCCTCATGTATCCACGGGAGGTTCTTTGCTTTTCATGCTTTTGAAGACATTTTCAAATGGAAGATGCGGTGAATGCCGAACACCGGAACCTTCCAGAACTTACAAGCAATGCACACCTGAGGCAAGTCTGAAGTGGTGCTGCTGGTTTCCATACACAGGGGAGAGCCTGAGTGAGTCAGGTCTTGAGAAAGACTGTTGACATTCATGACATCCAATTCCGACATGTTTCCGACTTTTTCACGAGATGTATCCACTTCAAAATGTACAGGATCTGAAGGTGATGAGCGGAAGTTTTGGTATCCCTGTCCCTAACTGTTGAAAGATAAGATTCTTGAAAAAGAATTTTAATTAGTACGTGCAAACAAAAAGATTTTTTCCCACTATCCCTCCCTTCATTAAGAGAGGTGCAGGGGGACCAGCAGTTGGCATAATGTCTATGTCGCGGGACTCCCATGTAGTCGATGGCAATTCAAGTCCCGGACCTGGTGGCTTAAACTCACGCCGGGCGCGTGTGCGTGTGTGATGGCAATTCCCGGACCTGGTGGCTTAAACTCACGCCGGGCGCGTGTGCGTGTGTGCCCAAGATCCCAAGAGGGGAATGGAGGAGAAGGGATTGTGGCGTGACCATCCCCCCTGGGGGTGATTTCTTGCTTTCTGCCTCTCCTCTTTCTGGTGAGCACACACGCGCTATAGCAAAAACCTCTCAAAAAAAAAGAGAGGTGCAGGGTCAGGTGGTGGCACAATAGTGGCACACGTGGACTATGGGAAGGTCCTGTGCTCGTGTCCTAGGACCTTCCTCAGCACCCTGGAACGCAAATCTGTCTTCTCGTGATACAGGCTGGCTGAGAGACTGGGGCTGGATCGTGGCCTGGGGACTGTGTTGGGGTGCTGTCTCACTCATGAAGAAATAAAGTTTGAAAAAAGAAGGGACCAGCAGTTGGCATAACGGCTATGTCACTGGACTCTTATGTAGTCGACCGTGGTTTGAGTCACTTTAGGGTCCATGCACTCAATAGAGAAAGAGAGACAGAGACAGTGAGAGGGAGAATGAAAAATCACCCCCAAGGGGGAATGGCTGTGTTAAAATCCCTGGGACCTTGGGCATGCACATACACATGCTACCAGTCTGGGACTGGAACTACAGTTGGCCATGTGCGAGTCCAGCAACGTAACAGCTATGCCATCTGCTCAGCTTATAGCCTACCCCTTCTTAAAGTCAGCTGATGACAAACCCTTACTCAATAATGCTTCTGTTTAGAGAGATAATTTTTGGAATAGGGTGCATGCACTCGCCAGAGAGACAGACAGAATGAGAATCATTCCCCATGGGGGTGGCCATGCCACAATCCCTTCTCCTCCATTGTCCTCTTGGGATTTAGGGCACACATGCCCGGGTCTGGGACCCGAACTGTGGTCAGCCATGAAAGTCTAGTGACATAACCATTACGCCATCTGCTGGTCCCATAGAAACAATCAGTTTTAACACTCTACATTCATTGTACGCTAATGGAGCAGGGAAAGCTAGACCCTGTAAGGGGGAGGGAGAGTCTGAGTAAAGTTTACAGAAATGCATATTATACAAAAAGTGTGCATGGATTTAAATTTTCTTTGTACCAAAATAAACTTGTACTTTAATCCCATTTTTTCATAAATGGTTTGAAGTCCCCTCATATTCCCCTCCTCATGTATCCACGGGAGGTTCTTTGCTTTTCATGCTTTTGAAGACATTTTCAAATGGAAGATGCGGTGAATGCCGAACACCGGAACCTTCCAGAACTTACAAGCAATGCACACCTGAGGCAAGTCTGAAGTGGTGCTGCTGGTTTCCATACACAGGGGAGAGCCTGAGTGAGTCAGGTCTTGAGAAAGACTGTTGACATTCATGACATCCAATTCCGACATGTTTCCGACTTTTTCACGAGATGTATCCACTTCAAAATGTACAGGATCTGAAGGTGATGAGCGGAAGTTTTGGTATCCCTGTCCCTAACTGTTGAAAGATAAGATTCTTGAAAAAGAATTTTAATTAGTACGTGCAAACAAAAAGATTTTTTCCCACTATCCCTCCCTTCATTAAGAGAGGTGCAGGGGGACCAGCAGTTGGCATAATGTCTATGTCGCGGGACTCCCATGTAGTCGATGGCAATTCAAGTCCCGGACCTGGTGGCTTAAACTCACGCCGGGCGCGTGTGCGTGTGTGCCCAAGATCCCAAGAGGGGAATGGAGGAGAAGGGATTGTGGCGTGACCATCCCCCCTGGGGGTGATTTCTTGCTTTCTGCCTCTCCTCTTTCTGGTGAGCACACACGCGCTATAGCAAAAACCTCTCAAAAAAAAAGAGAGGTGCAGGGTCAGGTGGTGGCACAATAGTGGCACACGTGGACTATGGGAAGGTCCTGTGCTCGTGTCCTAGGACCTTCCTCAGCACCCTGGAACGCAAATCTGTCTTCTCGTGATACAGGCTGGCTGAGAGACTGGGGCTGGATCGTGGCCTGGGGACTGTGTTGGGGTGCTGTCTCACTCATGAAGAAATAAAGTTTGAAAAAAGAAGGGACCAGCAGTTGGCATAACGGCTATGTCACTGGACTCTTATGTAGTCGACCGTGGTTTGAGTCCCGGACCCAGTGGCTTAAACTCACACCGAGTGTGTGTGCGTGCGTGCGTGCCCAAGATCCCGAGGTAAGCATGGAGAAGGGATTGTGGTGTGGCCATCCTCCCTGGGGTGGGAGGGTGATCCTCTGTCTCTCTGTCTCTGTCTTTCTGGCGAGCGCATGCGCCCTATAGCAAAAACCTCTTAAAAAATAAATACAAAAAGTAGCAAAGTTAACTGTCCTTAATTTTAAAATGTCACTTGTCAAATTATTAGAAAAATTAAAAAGGGAACAGCAGATGGCATAATGGTTATGCCGCTGGACTCCACAGTTCAAGCCCCAGACCCAGTGGCTTAAAAAAAACTCAAATGTGTGTGCATGCATGTCTAAACTCCTGAGAGGAGAATGGAGAAGGGACTGTGGTGTGGTCATACCCCCTGAGGGATGACTCCTCAGGTCTGCTGCAAAGAGTGGAAAGGATAGCACAGAGTCCGAATTCTGCTCAAACTTCCATAGCCTGTACCCACATTACATACCTAGCTCCCCCATATCTAGCTCCCCTCTGCTTCAGTCAGATAAGGCTCATCTCCCTGCAAATAGGTAACTGACCACTTCGCTAATCTGTCCTGTCCCAGGCTTCTCTCTTTTTGTTTTTTAAGAGGTTTTTGCTATAGGGCGCATGTGCTCGCCAGAAAGACAGAGAGATAGAAAGTGAGAAATCACCTCCCAGGGTGATGGCCATGCCGCAATCCCTTTTCCTCCATTCTCCTCTTGGGATCTTAGGCACGCACGGACACGCACCTGGCATGAGTTTAAGCCGCCGGGTCCAGGACTCGAACCATGGTCGACTACATGGGAATCCAGCAACATAGCCATTATGCCAACTGCTGATTCCAAGCCTGGACTTTTCTTAAAACCTTCCCATCTATCCATTCGTCTATTTTTAAAATTTCTATAATACTTTTGATCTCTAAATATCTATAAGATAATTCAGCAGCTATTCATTTACTGTTTTAAAGTCTTACTAATTGTTTCAAAGGTGTTACTGTATTTAGATCACACATTCCTGAACAGGGGCTCCCAATACTCACTACTGTGCATGGGTAGTGCTGTCTACGCAGTAAATATTGAATAATTCCTGCATCCTAACGATTTCTTTCTACTAAACCCTCTCAGTCTATCCATTTGCCTGGACTAGTTGTTTTATTGTATTACTGAATTAATAAATCATTTTTTGAGTGTTAGTTGTTTTCAAACCTGTCATCACTCAGCAAAATATTAAAAAGCCTAACAGGATAGCCAGGACTGGCGAAAAGGACCAACTTGAGGCTCACCTTTTCCCTCTCTTCCAAGTACACATTAGTTGCCCAGGCTGTGGTGAAATGAATTTGAAAAATCCTTGCTTTGTTTTCCAAATGCAAAAATACCCACAAAGGGCTATGTTTGGTTTGCGAACCTGGAACTTCCCTTTCCACTTGCCCTAATTTTCCCAGCCCTCAACGTGGCGCTGCACAATCGGATGTCAAATAAGGCTTACTTTTTCATCTCTTGCTTCTAAGTCACCAGATGGGTTCGATTTTATAAATACTCAAACGTTTGGAATGCTATTCGAGAGATTTCAACTAGCTCTGTTAGGTCGGGCGTTCAAAGGTGTGTTCTGGGACTTAACTGGCAAACACTCTTTAGTTTGTATTTAAAACTATTTCATGACAAGCTTTCCAGCCTTTTTAAGAAGCACTTATCTTTGGTCACCTTAAAACACTCGCCAAACTTTTTAAGACACAAAAGCGTGTTCACTTCCAGGATCCATAGTTTCTTGGACCCGCCCTAAGGATTCCGTGCTGCTCCTCGCCGCCCTCGGTTTCGAGGGACAGAGACGAACGCTTTCCAGCCTTTTCCAACAAGCGTTTTTACCAACTCGTAGCCAGGCTCCAGGCGCTCTAGAACTAGTCCCAGTGTGACGTCCGCCAGTGCCAGCCCTTCTCGGCCGGGAAAGGCGAGCCCGCCCAACCCGCCAGGGAGCGGCGTCGGCGTCTGTTTCCCCCGAGGACTGAAGTTACAAACAGCCCAGGAGATAGCTGGTGCGCACTTTCGCGGAAGGAAACACAAAACTCCGCGCGGAAACTAAAGACTCCAAGCGGAAAAGCTAGCACGGGCTCGCGGAACGATCGCCAGACGCCTCGTTTTGTCCCTTTCGCGCACCGTCCGGAGGAAATTTACACGCTCAGCCCTGCGCAGGAGCGGGACTTCCGGTCCGTCAGGCTTCCGGTGGAGCAGCAGGGCGTTCCGGCTTTTGGTTCCGGGAAACGGCACGTGTCGGGCTCTTGTCTTGCGGGCGGTTGGGTCCGCCGCGGGCAAATCCATCTGCGTCGGGTTCCGGTCCAGGCGCGGAGCAGACGGCCTCCGCGGGAGCTGAGGTCTTCACGTGGGTCCGCCATGGACTACCGGCGGCTGCTGATGAGCAGGGTGGTTCCCGGGCAGTTCGACGACGCGGAGTCCTCGGGCAGGTAGGCGGCCAGAGACTGCGCCGTTCTGCTGGGATCCCGCTTCCGTTTGCTCCTCGGTCCCCTCGGGAGGTTGGCAGTTGTCTGTGGCCCAGGGGGACACTGGTCCTTCATTGCTCGGTCTTTCTATAGCCTTCTGCCATTATCCGCGTCCCATCCGGGCTTTCCGTCACAGTTGATGGACGCCCCGTGTCAAGGGAGTCCCAGGTCTCTTTTTTTGGGAGAGATTTTCACTGTAGGGCGCGTGCGCTCGCCAGACAGACAGAGAGAGAAACAGAGAGACAGAAAGCGAGAAATCACCCCCCAGGGTGGATGGTCACGCCGCAATCCCTTCTCCTCCATTCTCCTCTCGGGATCTTGGGCACGCACGCACACGCGCCCGGCGTGAGTTTTAAGCCACGGGGTCCGTGACCCTAACCGCGGTCGACTACGTGGGAGTCCAGCGACATAGCCATTACGCTAACTGCTGGTTCCCAGTCCCAGGTCTCTTAGCGTTACCGAGAGGAGAGCGGGGCATGGCGACTGGGGAATCAGGTTTTATGTTTAACGACATTTCAGCGTTCAGCACATGTTTATTAATAAGGCACCTCTTGTGTCCCCAGGATGGGACACAGTGATGAACGAGACAGAGTAAGTCCCTCTTGTCATGAAACTCTACCTTCTCCTTGGGACGGAGAGCAGACCATTAAAAAATCAGATAATGGGACCAGCAGATGGGGTAATGATTACGACGCCAGACTCCACATAGTTGACCTCAGTTCCAGTCCCGGACCGGATGCTTAAAACTCAAGTGGGGGGCATGTGCATGTGTGCCCAAAATCCGAGAGGAGAATGGATTGCAGCATGGCCAACACCCCCTCCCTGGGGGGCATTGATTTCTCTCTTTCTACCTATCTTTCCCGTGAGCACATGTTCCCTGTAGCAAAAATCTCACTTAAAAATATCAGATAATGATATATCCTATACACATAATTAAAGTGGGTTGATATATTAAGTAATGACCAAATGGTCAGCGAAGGGTTGAGTTAAGATTTGAATGACATGAGGCAGCTAACCGTGGTCTCCCACGGTAGGGGCATTTCAGGCTGAGGGAACAGCAAGCCCAAGGACCCATTGGTGGGGTCTCTCTTGGCTGTGCAGGGAAGACCTGGAGGCCAGTGTGCCTAGAACCCAGTGGAGGCGGGGTGGCAGACAGGATTGTTAGGTGATGAGAGAGAAGAGGGTGCCAGATCATGGCGAGCCATGCAGGTGGTGGTAAGGAGTTGGGATGATAATCTAAGTCTTACACAGAGTCGGGGGGGGGGGGGGGGGCCACTGGTGAGGGGGGGGGGGGGTCGTCCTATGGTGTGGTCGGTTAAGGTGGTTGGACCCCACGTGGGCCTGGATCCCACACAGCCGACTGCCTTGTTGGAGTCTTGGACTGGTGGGTTGAGAAACGCCTGGTGCATGGGCAAATTCAAGAGAAGGGAGAAATGGAGAGGGGATTGCTGCATAGCCATGCCCCGTGAAGGTTACTTTCTCCATTTCACTGCCTCTGTCTCTCTCTGCGTGTCATCTAGCAGAATTTTAAAAAGAAGAAAGCCAGAAGAAGCCTTTTAGCAGGGAATAACTTTTTTGTTTTTAAGACAGATTTTTGTTACAGCTTCTGTGTACTCGCTGGAGAGACAGAAAGGGGGAAGTCACCCCCCGGGGGGATGGCCACACCGCAGTCCCTGCTCCTCCATTCTCCTCTCGGGATCTTGGGCACGCACGCACACGCGCCTGGTATGAGTTTAAGCCACTGGGTCTGAGGCTCTTCACTGCGTTCGACTATGTAGGAGTTCAGCAATGCAACCATTATGCCATCTGCTGGTCCCGGGAATAACATTCAACTCATAATTTAAAGAAGTCATGTCCTTAAGTAGAAATAGTCATGGAGGAACAGAGAGACCTGTTCACAAGTAATAAAATAAGCAGGTTCAATGCATCACCCTTGATGTCTGCAGTCTGAGCTCCTAGCATCAGAGGTATTTTAGAGGCAGAAGTGGAGGGTGACTTGGATGTGAAGGATCCGAGGGAAGTAATGAAGGATAACTGCTACTTAAAAGCAAAGCGAGGGGGTGGCATCTGTCATGGTGATTATGGTGTCGAACTCCCACGTGGCAGATTATGGTTCGAGTCCCAGACCTGGTGGCTTGCCTTCTCACTCTCCCTCTCTCTCTCTCTCTGTGTCTCTTTGGTCAAGTTAAAGAATAATAATAAATGAATAAGAGTAAATAAAATAATTATATTTTAAAAAGCAAAGTGAAATATTTTGGGTCGTCAGAAAAATCATGACACATTTTGCATAGAAAATGTGTATGTCATGACTTTTCCGACAACCCAATTTATGGATTATTTTTATGAAATCCTAGCCAACAGCAGGTATTTAGTGATTGCTTTTTCCTATCCATATTCATGGGAGATTTGGCGCTCGCCAGAAAGACAGCGAGACAGAAAGTGAGAAATCAACCCTCGGGGGGATGGCCACGCCGCAATCCCTTCTCCTCCATTCTCCTCTTGGGATCTTAGGCACGCACACACACGCGCCTGGTGTGAGTTTAAGACACCAGGTCCGGGACTCAAACAGTGGTTGACTTCGTGGGAGTCCAGTGACGTAGCCCTTACACCATCTGCTGGTCCCAATCGCAGTGTGAATTCTGACTTCACTGAGGCAGAAGCATTACAACTTGATGTTCTTCTTCCCTAGAAGGCCTGGGCATGCACATAAGCCAACAACTGCAATGGAATTGGGGAACAGAGAACTCGTTACAAAGGTTGAGTTTGTTGGGAGATGCACTGTAAGGGGACCTTTTAGCTTTATGTATTTAGTCTGTTAATATCATAAACAAATATATACGCGAGTCTTCCAGTATGCATAAATATATGGAAATATTATTCGTAGTGAAAACATCGACTTGACGATAGTCAAAGAGGAGGACAACATCCCGGCTGAAGAGCTTCAGCATCCTGTGACCGAGAAGAAAGGTGAAGGTGTGACAGATGAGGAAGAAGAGGATTACGACGATGATGATGATTGGGACTGGGATGATGGTGTTGGAAGACTCACCAAGAGTTATACCTGGCATGGAGGGTGTAACTCACAGGTATGTTATGTGATTGTACGTGTCTTCATGTAGTCTGCTTATTTATGTCTTGGGTTTTTTTAGAGAGATTTTTTCTATATGGCATGTGCGCTTGCCAGAGAGACAGAAAGCGAGAAATCACCCCCAGGGGGATGGCCATGTTGCAGTCCCTTCTCCTCCATTCTCCTCTCAGAATCGTGGGCACTCACGCACACATGCCTGGCGTGAGTTTAAGCCACCGGGTCCAGGACTTGAACCACAGTTGACTACTTGGGAATCCAGTGACATAGCCCTAATGCCCACTGCTGGTCCCACCAAAATCCACTTTTTAAGACCTACCCTATAGCCTAGTGGTTAAGGGAGCCCGATCCCATGTGGCCAACTATGGTTTGAAGCCCAGCCCCAGTGACTTGAAAAACATACTGGGTACGTGTGTGCACATGCCCCAAATCCCAGCAGGGCGGATAAGTGGAAAAGTTCGCAGTCACGCCACAAACTCTCCCATTGGAGAGATGCTGTTTCCTTCTCTCTTTCTGGCAATTGCATGTACCCTCGGGCAATTTAAAAGAATTAAGTTCTCGGCCAGCAGGTGCCATAGCGGTTATGTTGCTGGACTCCCACATGCCAACTGAGGTTCGAGTCCTAGACCTTGAAAATCACACCACGTGCGTGTGTGTGCACTTGAGATCCTCTGAGGAGAATGGAGGAGAAAGGATGCAGCATGACCATCCCCCCTGGGGGGTGACTTCTCACTTTCCTGTCACTGTCTCTATCTTCACCCACCCCTCCTGAATACACACATCCTTAGGCAAAAAGCTCTTTCTTTTCTTTTCTTTTTCTTTTTTTTTTTTTTTTTTGAGAGCTTTTCGCTATAGGGCGCGTGCACTCGCCAGACAGACAGAGAGAGACATAGAGACAGAAAGCGAGAAATCACCCCCAGGGGGGATGGCCACGCTGCAATCCCTTCTCCTCCATTCTCCTCTCGGGGTCTTGGGCATGCACGCACACACGCCCGGCGTGAGTTTTAAGTCACCAGGTCCAGGATGCAAACCGCGGTCAACTACGTGAGAGTCCAGCGACATAGCCATTATGCTAACTGCAGATTCCCGGCAAAAAGCTCTTAATAAATAAATTCTTCTTTCTTTTTTTAAAATTAGTTCATTTAATTTTATTTATTCATTCATTTATTTTAATTTGACCAGAGAGAGAGAGAGAGAGAGAGAGAGAGAGAGAGAGAGGAAGGACACAGGAGAACACCACCAGGAAAAGTGAGAAAACAAGCCCCAGGGCCAGGACTCAAAAACATGGTCGGCCATGTAGGTGTGTCCAGCACCTTACCCACCATGCCACCTGCCGGTCCCCAATAAATAAATTCTTTAGAATCAGTTTAAGTTTGGTCTTAGGTCTTCATTGTACACTTTGGGAGTAAATGAACATTCTCAAGTTTTAAATTGATAAATGTATCAAGTTAGAAAAAATGTATGTAATTTAATTTGTTATGTACAGTAAAGAGGAATACACTGAAGAGAAGTGAAAAAATTAAAAGGTCTAGCTTATGTACATTCTGTTCTAGGCGGTGACTTAGACTTTCTGTTTTAAATGCCTTTTTAGAAAATTCCTTAGGCAAATTTGATTGATTCTTCCCTTTCCGAAGGCTACTTCTCTAAGTATTGCTGCTTTAATATCTAACTCTGAATTAAGGGAAAATGCATGCAGGATGCCCCATGGGCTTGTATTTACAACCAGTTGCTTAACTTCTGGAATTTTTTTCTTCTAGGCCAATCGGCAGACTTCCAGCTGCAGTGCGGCTAAAATGTCTACTCCGGCAGACAAGGTCTTACGGAAATTCGAGAATAAAATTAATCTAGGTGAGTCTATAAAATACGTTATGTCACTGGGATGAGGAAAATCTTCAAAAACCATGACGTGTTTGGAGAGATTTTTGCTATAGGGCATGTGTTCTCTCCAGAGAGGCAAGAGACAGAGATACAGAAAGTGAGAAATCGGCCCCCCAGTGAGGATGGCCACACCACAATCCTTTCTGCTCCATTCTTCTGGGATCTTGGGCATGCACGTACACACGCCTGGCATGAGTTTTAAGCCACCAGGTCTGAGACTCAAACCGTGGCTGGCCATGTAGGAGTCAAGCTACGTAACCTCTACAGCATCTCCTGGCCCTGCTACAATTTTAATAGATCAGGAAATTAATAAATTCAAGTGTTACTCAATAACGCTTAGAGAAAATTAAAAGTTATAGTCATGTAAAAACATGGCTTCGGGTTGGCAGGTGGCATGGCGGTTAAGGCGCTTAGACTCTCACGTGGCTGACCACAGATCAAGTCCTGGACCTGATGGCTTGCTTTCTCACTTTCCCCTTCTCTCTCTCTCTCTAACTCTCCAGTCAAATTGAAAATAATAATAATAATAATAATAAATAAATAATTCTTTAAAAACATGACTTTAAGAAAGGACTTTAACTTAAGCTCTTCTGGTCCTTTTCTCACCTGCCGTAGGCATGTGAAGTGACAGATTTCTCTTGAAGTTATTGTTTGTTCCATTAAATTATGTTCAAGTAGGATCATCTCATAGTATTATGTGGAAAGTACGATAGCGTATTGAATATAGTTAGGTTTTGTTTTACCAGGGACTTTACGTAGGTGCTAATTGTTTGGTGAGATGTTAAGTGCAAGGAATCAGAGAGCTGACTGGGACCACCACTCTGAGAAAATGCAAGGTCATCTTTCTCTTTTTGTAGATCCTTGACTCAGTATAAACCTCGCACAGGTCTCAGGAAAGCTCTCAATAAATGCTGAATTAAAGATCTTAGGGTTTTCTTTGCATCATAGACTTATAACTTGTTTTTTTTTTTTTAATTTTTTTTTAGTGCAAGGAATCAGAGAGCTGACTGGGACCACCACTCTGAGAAAATGCAAGGTCATCTTTCTCTTTTTGTAGATCCTTGACTCAGTATAAACCTCGCACAGGTCTCAGGAAAGCTCTCAATAAATGCTGAATTAAAGATCTTAGGGTTTTCTTTGCATCATAGACTTATAACTTGTTTTTTTTTTTTTAATTTTTTTTTATTTAACTTTGTGGACTTGTAACTTGTTTTTTTTTTTTTTAATTTTTTTTTATTTAACTTTATTTATTATTATCATTATTATTTTCCAGTTTGATCAGAGAGAGACACAGAGAGAGAGAGGAAGTGAGAAAGCAAGCCACCAGATCCAAGACTTGAACCGTGGTCGGCCATGTGGGAGTCCAGCGCCTCCAACCACCATGCCACTTGCCGGCCCCGTGGACTTGTAACTTGTAACGGAACTGGTTTTCAGAATTAAACTTGGAATTTAGGCAGTTACGTTTTAAGTGTCTGGTATTTAGCATACAAATACAATGTTACTGAGTGATTTCCACATTTAGAATCCTGTGGCTCAGAAGTTATGGCTGTAGTGATGAAGGTGACAACATTTCTTATAAAGGGGTAAAAATTTTTTTTTTGATTATTGAAACCCTCACTTGAATAAAATATGAATTAGGTTGTCTGGAAAGTTCATGGCATTTATTTTTTGTTTTTGTATGTAAAAATGTGTCATGACCTTCCCGTAGACCCAGTAGTTAGAGAACATGAAGGAAGCGGGGAGAAGTGTTATACTCAGAGTACTGATGCTTTCTGTCTGACATATTGTGTACATTTTATGTTTTTAGATAAGCTAAACGTTACCGATTCTGTCATGAATAAAGTCACCGAAAAGTCTAGACAGAAGGATGCAGATATGTAAGTAATATTTTAATCGTAAATATTCAGGGGAAAGAGGGACGTTTCACTGAGTGAAGACTGTAATCAATCATGAAATCTGTTACTAAAGAAACGAGCTCCTTAGGGATTTCCGTGAAGCGATGTGCATTCGGAAGCTTTTTATTTTGGCTTCTCTCACTGAACTTTGAATATGTCAACTGTACGTTTTTGTTTCTGGTTAGGTGTCGCATCAAAGATAAGGCAGACAGAGCCACTGTAGAACAGGTACAGTTTAACTCTGTTGCAAGCTCTTAAAGGAGCATTTCTCTTCTCTGAATTGTAGTTTGCGTTCATCCTTTGTACTTAATGCTAATGTTACCTAAAGTTGCCTTTATGTAAAATGACTCCTTTTTATAGTTTTGAGCTTAGAAAGACCTGGGCTTTGCTTTATAGCGGGACTGTTGAGGGGTGGGTTAGAGTCGTGCTCCTCGGTGGCCTTGCAGAGCCACCTCCCCAACCTCTGGGAGGCAGAGAGGCTGTCAGAACAGGACCCTCCTTAACAGGATCTGCAGGAATTTTGTGATGTTTTCCAGAAGACAGATTGAGTATCTGCCATAGAGCAGCGTATGAAGGCAAGAAAGAGAGGTGTAACACCTTCAAATTTCCAACTAGAAAACCCTTTCTGGGACTAGCAGATGGAGTAATGGTTACACTACTGGACTCCCATGTAGTTATCCATGGTTCGGACCTGGCAGCTTAAAACTCACGCACGCACATGCGTACCCAAAGTCCCGAGAGGAGACTGGAGGAGAAGGGATTGTGGTGTGGCCATCTCCCATGGGGATATGATTACCCCTGGGGGGTGATTTTTCACTGTCTGTCTGTCTCTCTTGGGCGATCTCACATGCTATAGCAAAAAATCTATCAAAAAAAAAGAGAAGACCCTTTCTTTAGAAATTGTGCATGTTTTAGTCATTCTTACTTAAGAACATGAGAAACCTGGCCCCTAATGTTACCTTGTGTTGAGGGATCTAATTAGATGTTAGCATTTGGCCCAGGTGTTTATTTGGGTTTTTTTCTGTTTATTTTTGCTGTGTGTGAGAGAGAGAGCACTCCCAGCGTGGGTCCCAGCGCCACCATCTACCCTCGGCCTCAGCCTGCCCCAGATCACGTGTGTGCCCAAATACTCAGGGAGCTCTCTGCACACCGAGGGGGGACCGTCCCACGTGGGGCTGCCTTTCAGTGTCCCATGTTAGCACTGCGCCACCCGCCGGCCCTCGGGCCAGATTTCTGAGGTAAAGAACAGGATAAAAAGGGCCAGGACATTGCTGGTGCTGCCTCCTGGCCCTTCCCTCCCCCAGGACTCACATGCACACTTTCTGTTTTGGAATGGTGTCCTCTTCTACCTTTAGGTCTTTGGTTGAAGACATACTCCCTGGCCTTGCCACCATGGTGCATGCAGTAGGGCGTTGTTCTGCGAGGTTGGGGCTGATGGGAGGCCTGAGTTTGGGTCTCAAACCAACCTACTCAGGCTAGTTGTGATCACCTTGGACTTCTGGTCCTAGCTAACTGGGAGGGCCGGGCAGAGGATTGCAATGGGCAGATCCTACCAGAAATACCCATCTCTCTCTCTCTCGCTTGTTTGCTTTCAGTAAAAAGAAAAAAAAAAAGAAAACATAAGCTCCCTTTTTTTTTTTTTTTAAAGAGAGAGATTTTTGTTATAAGGCACACGTGGTCGCCGGAGACACAGAGACAGAAAGTGAGACCTCACCCCCTGGGGAATGGCCATGCTGCAGTCCTTCTCCATTCTCTTTGGATTTTGGACACGCACGCACACGCCCAGCAGGAGTTTCAGACCTCTGGGTCCAGGACATGGACCACCATGCCAGCTGCTGGTCCCCATAAGCACCCTTTTTATCAGTCACCTCTGTCCCCAAGGGAGTAGTACCTAACCCAGGCTCTAGGACCATTGGAGTAATTGAAGAATTCTCTTAGGCAGGCAGGAATATGAGGCTCACCTAAGAAGTTCACAGAAAGTGCATATTATGGGAAAACCACACATGGATTTCAAAATTTTCTCGCACCCAAATACATAGTGCTTTAATTCCATTTATCCACAAAAATTTCTGCTGTTCTTTCTAAGAGTCTGAGGTCTGCATCTTCACTGTCCTTTAATTTATTTTGTGTGATTTGTTTCTGTGATTGAAAACAAAATAAAACCAAATGTGGTAGACTTCATTTTCAAATACCCTAAAAAAAGTTAGACAAAATCCTTAACTGTTTTTTTTTTTTTAAGTTTGCTATAGAGAGCATGCACTTGCTGGAAAGAGATAGAGAAGGGAGGAGGATGAGAAATCTCCCCCAGGGAAGTGGCCCTCTGCAATCCCTTCTCCAGTCTCTTCTTGAGACTCGGCATGTGCACACATGCCCCAATATGATTTCCGGGCTGCTGATCCAGGACGTACACCGCGCTGTTGGCCACGTGGGATCCAGCTGCCTAACCTCCATGCCATCTGCTTGCCCACCTTTTTCTCCTTCAAAATTAATTTTGAATGATAGAGTATATAAATTGAGTCTTTAGCTGTCTTTTAAAAATAGATACTTGCCTATATGTCTATTTCTATTTTTTTTTTTTGAGCTTTTTTTTTTGCTATAGGGTATGTGTACTTGCCAGAAGGACAGAGAGACAGAAAGAAAGAAATCATCCCCAGGGGGGGATGGCCACGCCACAGTCCCTTCTCTCGGGATCTTGGGCATGCACACACATGTGCCCGGCGTGAGTTTAAGCCACTGGGTCTGGGACTTGAACTGTAGGCCACTACATGGGAGTCCAGCGACGTAGCCATTACGCCAAGTGCTTTCTGTTTTGTTCTTAAACCATTTGGTATGTTGCTCCTGCCTTTGCCCTTGCTTGTCTAAGCCCAGATCTACAATTGCAATCTCTACCTGGGTTTCTGTACTCAAACCAGCTAACTTCCCCATTCTGTACTCTGTGTGCAGTCGGGAAAGAATGGAAATTAGTGCTGCTCACTCCCTCCCCTTTCACTCTCGTCTAGTTGCGATGGTTATAGATCGGCTCTTCTGCAGTCTGCCACGGTGTTTCTTTTTTTTAAAATTATTTTATTTAACTTTATTTATTATTATTATCATTATTATTTTCCAGTTTGCTCAGAGAGAGAGAGAGAGAAGTGAGAAAGCAAGCCACCAGGTCCGAGACTTGAACCGTGGTCGGCCATGTGGGAGTCCAGAGCCTTTATCCACCATGCCACTTGCCGGCCCCAAGGTCGTTTTGTTTCTATTAACTGGTTTCTGGAGCGACCTCAGCTCCATCGAAGAGTAGACTCTGAAGTAGTTAGCTCTGGCCGTAGAGCTTGGAGGGCTTCCTGAGCCAAGAGGTGCTCTTGCTGGTATCCCAGAAATTTTCATACAAGTGTCTGGTGGCGTTTGCTTCAGAGATGGACGGGAACAGGCTTTACACGCATTGCCACTTACTGCATTTGTTAAAGAGGACTTTGAAATAATTTTTATTTAAGATTGACTACCCCAGGGACCAGAAGATGGTGCAATGGTTACTTTGCTGGACTCCCATGTAGTCGACCACAGTTGGACTCCCGGACCTGGCGGTTTAAACGTCATTCATGCCAGGCGTGTGTGCATGCATGCCCAAAATCCTAGGAGGAGAATGGAGGGGAGGGGATTGCAGTGTGGCCATCGCCCTGGGGGGTGACTTCTTGCTTTCTGTCTCTTTGTCTCTCTCTGTTTCTCCAGCGAGTGCACACACCCTATAGCAAAAACTCTCTCTTTAAAAAAAAGAAAGACTGGGAACCAGCAGTTAGCGTAATGGCTATGTTGCTGGACTCCCACGTAGTCGACCGCGGTTCACGTCCCGGACCCGGCGGCTTAAAACTCACGCCAGGCGCGTGTGCGTGCGTGCCCAAGATCCCGAGAGGAGAATGGAGGAGAAGGGATTGCGGCATGACCATCCCCCCTGGGGGGTGATTTCTCGCTTTCTATCTCTCGTTCTGTCTGGCGAGGGCGCGCGCCCTACAGGGAAAATCTCCCCAAAAAAAAAAAAAAATCTCTCCAAAAAAAAAAGAAAGATTGACTACCGTGACTTTGAAAGGGACGCTTACCCTGCTTTACTCATCTTTAGCAGCAGGGTCTCAGACTTTTTCCTTGAGTGGCCAACTAAGAATTACTTAAGGCATGGTGGGATGCATCCAGCTTCCAAGATTCTAAAGTGTAAATACCACCCTTAGCTCGCAAGTAGAGACATAAGCTGCAGCCTGGATCTGGTGCATGGGCCAGAAGGTTCTGAGCCCTGGTCTAAAACTGCCTGTGCAGTGCTGTGGCCATGGCACTCTGCGGACAGGCTGGACGTACAAAACGCACACTGCGCTGTGAACCCCATGGTGCTTAAATACATCGGGTTGAATGAAACACAGTGAATTCACCTGCTCTTTAAGTGTGGTCACTAGAGAACATAGAAGTCCTGAGGTAGTTTAGCATTCTGTCCTTACTAGCTAACAGCAGTCTAGACTGCATTTCTGTTTCTTTTGGACTTGGGAGTCTTTGACTTATTCCCATGACTGGACGCACTTGTAGGTTTGTCGTCTTTGGTTCCTTTGCCCTTCGCTTCACATCCTATTTATTTATTCATTTAAATTTTATTCATTGTCATTATTTTATTATTATCATACTTATATAGAGAGAGGATTTTTTGCTGCAGGGTGCTTGTGTTCTCTGGAGAGATAGAGAGACAGAGACACAGACAGTGAGAAATCACCCCCCAGAGGGGATGGCCACGCCACAATCCCTTCTCCTCCATTCTCTCCTCTCAGGATCTTGGGCACGCATGCACATGTGCCTGGTGTGAGTTTTAAGCCCCTGGGTCTAGGACTCAACTGTGGTTGACTATGTAGGAGTCCAGCGATGTAACCGTTATGCCATCTGCCGATCCCATTTATTATTATTTTTAAAGTTGATCAGAGAGAGACAGAGAGAGGGACAGTGAGAAAGCAAGCTGCCAGGTCTGGGACTTGAACTATGGTCAGTCATATGGGAGTCCAGCCACCTTAACCACCCCACCACCTGCTGGCCCCCACATTTTATTTATTAAAAATCAGAATGAATAGACACTATAAAAGTACCTCTTATGTACTTCACCAGGATAGCATAGTACAGTTAAGCTCTTTGGTTTCTTCATTATTACATGTTTTATTGAGAAAGGCTTAGTACCATCTTTCTGAACTTTTTATACTTTGCACGTTTTTTTTTAGGTGTTGGATCCCAGAACGCGAATGATTTTATTCAAGATGTTGACTCGAGGGATCATATCCGAGATAAATGGCTGCATCAGCACAGGAAAAGAAGTGAGCTCTCTTTTGGGGAAGACTAAATGTTTCCCTGTCCGTTTTCTTATTTCAGATACCAAGTGAAACTAAGGCACTTAGTAAATTAATTGTGCCTTTAAAAAGAAAAGAAAAACAAGCCCCTACAAAGATCAGGATAGCGTAATGCAGTGTTCCTGAAACTGGCCGTGTTAATCCTTGCTGCCAGGGAGGGAGCTGTTCCGTGACCATGACCTTCCACCACTGTTACTGCCCTGTGTCATTGACTGACTGGTGGCCGGTGACGAGCTTCACCTGTCAGATTGTCGCCAGCCTCAGTCCTAAGCCGGAAAGTTACTTACTGGGGTGAGGTTTATAGTGTCCTATCTGTGAGTCAGGAAGACTCTCATTTTTTTCTTTTAAATAGGGATACAGGAAAAGACAAGGTATGGGTTTTTTGTTTGAGTGTTTTGGCTAGAGAGTGCATGCCACTCACCAGAATGGGGGGGAGGAAAAGCTTTCCCTCAAGGGACTGCCATTCATTTTCCTCCATTTCTTTATCTTGTGATTTTAATTTTTACTATAGGGTACGTGCACATGCTGGAGAGATGGAGACAGAGAGGGAAAGTGAGAAATCACACCTTAGGGAAGCTGCCATGCTGCAGTCCCCTCTCCTTTCAGGATTTTGGGCACATGTGTGCAGGTACCCATGCGTTTTAAAAGCCATTGGGTCTGGGACTTGGACCCCGGAGGTGGTCTGATGGGATCCAGCCACCTTAGCCACCATGCCGCTTGGTCAGGGGGGCATTCGCATGCACATCCCTGGTGTGTTTTTCAAGCTGCCGGGGCTGGGACATGAGCCATACGGGATCCAGCTCCCAGTGCACGGTGCTCCCTCACTGCTCTGTGTGCTGGACGCCGACTTGGTATTTCTTAACTAGCAGTTCGTTCTTTTTGGGAAACAGTTTATGGGAGAATTCAGTTTACAAATTCCGGTAAATTTGGGTGCACGTGCATGCCCAAAATTCTGAGGAGAATGGAGGAGAAGGGATTGCAGTGTGGCCCTCCTCTGAGGACTGATTTCTCACTTCCCTTCCCTCCAGCTCTCTAGCAAGTGCGTGCATCTCATGGAAAAACCATATACTTGAGCTGTAAAAGAATGAGACCATTTTCACATCTATTTAAGTGGGTTTCGCTACGTATGAGTATCGGAGACAGGGTCACTCTGCCCTTTCATCTGATCTTTCATATTTAGTTCACATTTACTTTCCATTACAGTCGCCCTCATTTTACGTTTTATTTCAGTGCAAATAAAGCGTTTGACTTTAGCAGTTAGGATCAAATAGATCGGAAAAGTAAAACACTGTAGTTATTTAACATAGACTTTGTTTTCAACTTAAAACAGGCTAATGTGTACCATGCTAGCACGCCAGATGGGGAGAGCAGAGCAGTCAAGATTTACAAAACTTCTATCTTGGTGTTCAAGGATCGGGATAAGTACGTGAGTGGGGAATTCAGGTGAGCACAGATTTTCTCCCTGTGGTTCAATTTCTATTTCATAAAATATTAAGACAATAAGAGAGTGATTGAGTTGATACATATTTTCTTGTTCAAGATTTCGTCATGGCTATTGTAAAGGAAACCCTAGAAAAATGGTGAAAACTTGGGCAGAAAAGGAAATGAGGAACTTGATCAGGTGAGCATCTGGCCGTGTGTGTGTCTGGGCTGTGGCTCGTCCTTCAGATCAGCTCTTTCCACCAGCCATCCCAGACGCAGGGATTCACTGCGGCCCCTAGGTCTGTGGGTTCCAAGGTGAGCAGAGATGAGGACAAATAGAAACTGCCTCTTCTGGGAGATCAGCAAATGGCATAATGGTTATGTCACTGGACTCCCGCGTAGTTGACTGTGGTTCGAATCCTGGTCCTGGTAGCTTAAAACCACACTGAGCGTGTATGCGTGTGCATCCAGAATCCCGAGTAGAGGATGAAGAAGGGTTTGTGGCGAGGCCATTCCCTCTGGAGGGGTGATTTCTCACTTTCTCTATCTCTCCAGTGAGTGCACTCGCCGTATAGCAAAAATCTCTATTAAAAACAATGAAAAGAGAAACTGCCTATTCTGTATTCCAGGAGTTTATTTCAGAAAAATCCATATTTATTCAACAAAACTAGATCATTTAGAGCCTAGTAAGCCATGCGAAAACACTTTAACACTTAGACTGTGTACTGAGGATAACGAGGAACTGTTTGAGGATTTTAAACAGAGAAGTGACAAAATCAGGTGATCCATCATTTTTTAGTCATTATTAGTTTTAGACAAATCTCTTTAGGTCCTTTTTTCTCTTTTTTTTTTTTTTTTTTAGAGATTTTCACTGTAGGGCGCGTGCGCTCGCCAGACAGACAGAGAGAGACATAGAGACAGAAAGTGAGAAATCACCCCCCAGGGGGGATGGTCACGCCGCAGTCCCTTCTCCTCCATTCTCCTCTCGGGATCTTGGGCACGCACGCACACGCGCCCGGCGTGAGTTTTAAGCCACCGGGTCCGGGACACGAACCGCGGTCGACTACATGAGAGTCCAGCGACATAGCCATTACGCTAACTGCTGGTTCCCCTTTTTTCTCTTTTCAGTCAAGGTGTAATCAAGGGTACAAATGACAAATCAACAAATGACTTGAAATTACTGAGATGAATAAAAATGCCGTCATGCATGCGTTCCTCCTAGTAAACATATCTAAGTAAACCGATTTGTGAAGTAACCTGCTCCACGACAGAATGTGGTTAATTTTATAATGAACACGCTCTGTTTGTTTTTCACATTTTCTATCTGTCAAATGTCTCCTCCCCCTCGTACTCACACCCACACTGTACCCTCCGGTCTCCTCCCTTACCGTCTCTAGCATTTACACCCATCCTCCCCACCTTTTCAACCTCCGTGACAGCATGTTTGCAACTTCAGTGGAGATATGCAGTGTCTATCTTTCAAAGTCTGGTCTACTTTGCTCAACATTAAGTCTTCTATGTTGATCCATTTCAAGTCATATAGTAAGATCTCATAGTTTCTTATAGCTGTGTAGTAATCCCGTAGTGTGTATGTGCCACAGTTTTTCAACCTAGTCATCAGTTTTTGAACACTTAGGCTGGTTCCATGTTTTAGCAATTGTGAATAATGCTGCAGTAAACATGGATGTGGAGATGTCTTTCCAACTAAGTGTTTTCCTATCCTTTGGAGTAAATACCAACAAGTGGGTTTACTGGGTCATATGGAAATTATGTTTGTAGGTTTTTGAGAAACCTTAATATTGTTTTCCACAGAAGTTGGACTAATTTACATTCCCACCGATAGTGTGAGAGAGTTCTAAAATCTTTTATCATAGTTTATGCTAATGCCATTTTATTTTTTATCATGGAAAGGCCTCTTACCTAGAGTTGAGATCAAGTTTTCTCAAAACTTCAGAATTTTTTTTCTTCCTTTTCCCAGTATCTTAATTTTCTACATGGTGTATACAGTGATATATATCGGATAGTTTAGTATTAAGCAGGTGCTACTTGTTTCAAAAGTCCTCAATCTTGGGCCAGCAGGTGGTGTAGTGGTTAAGGGTGCTGGACTCCCTCGTAGTTGACCGCAGTTTGAGTCCTGGACTCAGCAGCTTAGTTTCTCACTCCCCCCCGCCCCCCCGTTCTCTTTCTCACTCGGATGTCACAGTTTAATTGTCTGACAGTATTTTGTCATTCTTGGTGGTACATAATAATGCCACTTAAAACCACCAGTGTCAGGGCCAGCCCGTGGTGTGGTGGTTAAGGCAGCTGGACCCCACGTGACTAGCTGTGAGGCTCGAGTTGTAGGCCAGGCATGTGTGCATGTGTGTACACAATCCTGAAAGGAGGGAAAGATGGAAAAGATGCTGGCCCTTAAAACACTGATATTTAAAAAAATTTTTACAGGGGCCAGTAGGCAGGTAGTGTGGTGATTAAGGGTGCCTGACTCTGCGTTTGGCTGGCCACATTTCGAGTCCCGGACCTGGCGACTTGCTTTCTCACTTTCTCTTTTTCTCTCTCGCTGTCTCTCTCATCAAATTTAAATAGATAAGTAAATAATAAAGTTAAATAGGATAATTCTTTTAAATGTTTTTAAAAGTCAGTTTATGAAAATTGGAGTTAATTAAAAATTAGAGTCTATGAAATACAGTGATACAACGGAGAGGCCTTGATTGTGCCGTTTCCTGGCAGCTGTATTTTTCCTGAACTGTAGCTCTTACGATTTGTTGAGATGCCTTTCTGACCTTTCGGTTGTCCTTTTATCTGCCCAAACATTACAGGCTGAACACAGCAGAGATACCATGTCCAGAGCCGATCATGCTGAGAAGCCACGTTCTCGTCATGGGCTTCATTGGGAAAGATGACATGTAAGTGTGTGGGAGGCCTAACCAGAGCACGCTCAGAACGGCAGTGTGAATGCTCTCAGTTACCCAGAGCAGAAGGCTCAGCGGGTTTTATACAGTCCCTGACAGCCTGTAGGAAAGACGCACACGTAACAGTGCAGTATAAAGCAAGAAGACTTGTTCCCGGCTCTTTTATCTCAGTTTTTAAAATTCTCGTTTCAGGCCTGCACCGCTCTTGAAAAATGCCCAGCTGTCAGAATCCAAGGCTCGGGAGTTGTACCTGCAGGTCATTCAGTACATGAGAAGGATGTACCAGGATGCCAGGCTCGTCCATGCCGATCTCAGCGAATTTAACATGCTGTAAGTGGCTCTCGGGGGACCCTCCATGTGCCATTTCAGGTCCTTGAAAGCCGGAGACAAAAATCCCAATCCAAGAAGTGTAACTAAATTCTAAAGCGGTGAAGTGGCTTCCACGTAATTACAGTATCAGAGTCGGTATTGTCATCACTTCAGTGACCTGAGGCACAGAACCAGCCACTCGATCAGTAACCCAGTCAAGGGACTCTGGGGGTGCTGGACTCCCTCGTAGTTGACCGCAGTTTGAGTCCTGGACTCAGCAGCTTAGTTTCTCACTCCCCCCCGCCCCCCCGTTCTCTTTCTCACTCGGATGTCACAGTTTAATTGTCTGACAGTATTTTGTCATTCTTGGTGGTACATAATAATGCCACTTAAAACCACCAGTGTCAGGGCCAGCCCGTGGTGTGGTGGTTAAGGCAGCTGGACCCCACGTGACTAGCTGTGAGGCTCGAGTTGTAGGCCAGGCATGTGTGCATGTGTGTACACAATCCTGAAAGGAGGGAAAGATGGAAAAGATGCTGGCCCTTAAAACACTGATATTTAAAAAAATTTTTACAGGGGCCAGTAGGCAGGTAGTGTGGTGATTAAGGGTGCCTGACTCTGCGTTTGGCTGGCCACATTTCGAGTCCCGGACCTGGCGACTTGCTTTCTCACTTTCTCTTTTTCTCTCTCGCTGTCTCTCTCATCAAATTTAAATAGATAAGTAAATAATAAAGTTAAATAGGATAATTCTTTTAAATGTTTTTAAAAGTCAGTTTATGAAAATTGGAGTTAATTAAAAATTAGAGTCTATGAAATACAGTGATACAACGGAGAGGCCTTGATTGTGCCGTTTCCTGGCAGCTGTATTTTTCCTGAACTGTAGCTCTTACGATTTGTTGAGATGCCTTTCTGACCTTTCGGTTGTCCTTTTATCTGCCCAAACATTACAGGCTGAACACAGCAGAGATACCATGTCCAGAGCCGATCATGCTGAGAAGCCACGTTCTCGTCATGGGCTTCATTGGGAAAGATGACATGTAAGTGTGTGGGAGGCCTAACCAGAGCACGCTCAGAACGGCAGTGTGAATGCTCTCAGTTACCCAGAGCAGAAGGCTCAGCGGGTTTTATACAGTCCCTGACAGCCTGTAGGAAAGACGCACACGTAACAGTGCAGTATAAAGCAAGAAGACTTGTTCCCGGCTCTTTTATCTCAGTTTTTAAAATTCTCGTTTCAGGCCTGCACCGCTCTTGAAAAATGCCCAGCTGTCAGAATCCAAGGCTCGGGAGTTGTACCTGCAGGTCATTCAGTACATGAGAAGGATGTACCAGGATGCCAGGCTCGTCCATGCCGATCTCAGCGAATTTAACATGCTGTAAGTGGCTCTCGGGGGACCCTCCATGTGCCATTTCAGGTCCTTGAAAGCCGGAGACAAAAATCCCAATCCAAGAAGTGTAACTAAATTCTAAAGCGGTGAAGTGGCTTCCACGTAATTACAGTATCAGAGTCGGTATTGTCATCACTTCAGTGACCTGAGGCACAGAACCAGCCACTCGATCAGTAACCAAGTCAAGGGACTCTGGGAGTTTTCTCAGTTTCCACGTCTTGTTAGTCAAGGTGGCCTCCCCCTCCCTGCCTCAGCCTTTTAACTCGACTTCCCTGGGCCTTTTAAACAGCAGAGTATCCGTGTCTCATGGCCTCGGGGTCTCTGGTCCGCCAGGTACCACGTTGGGGGCGTGTTCATCATCGACGTTTCTCAGTCTGTGGAGCATGACCACCCCCACGCCTTGGAGTTCCTGAGGAAAGACTGCGCCAACGTCAACGGTGAGTAGAACCCGGAATGTTCTCACGGTTTGGTGTGTGTGTGTGTGCGTGTGGCTCGTTTGGCTGTTGGTGTAAAGTCTTGCTACCTGGATCCCACGTGGCCAACTGTGCGGTTTCAGTTCCAGACCTGGTGACTTGAAGAGCACGCCAGACACACGTGTGTGCCCAAAATGCCGACAGGAGGGAGACTGGAGAGGGGCCTGTACTGTGGCCGTTTCCCGTGGCGGCTGCTTTCTCACTTCTCCTTGCTCTCTTTCTCGTCTCTCTCATAACTGCACGCTTCCTTTGCCAACATTTTTTTAATCTCATCACCAAATTGTTCTAGCAGGGATGAGCCACTTGCTGGGAAATGATATGTACAGCCATTCCTCACTTAGCAACCTATCTGGTTAATGACTGCTCCGCCTCTTTGTTAAGAGAGATTTTTGTGGGAACCAGCAGGTGGTGTAATGGCTATGTCTGGACTCCCACGTAGTCAACCACGGTTCACGTCCTGGACTTGGTGGCTTAAAACTCACGCCGGGTGCATGTGCGTGCGTGCCCAAGATCCCGAGAGGAGAATGGAGAAGGGATTGCGGCATGACCGTCCCCCCTGGGGGGTGATTTCTTGCTTTCTGTCTCTATGTCTCTCTCTGTCTGTCTGGCTAGCGCACACGCCGTATAGCGAAAATCTCTCCAAAAAATAAAAAAAGAGATTTTTGTTGGAGTGTGCGTGTTCGCCAGAGAGACAGAAACAGAAAGACAGAAAATGCAGAGTCAGCCTGGGGGCGGGGATGGCCACACCACAGTCCCTTCTCCTTCATTCTCCTCTTGGGATTTTGGACGTGCATGCACACGTGCCCAGCATGAGTTTCAAGCTGTCAGGTCCAGGACGCAATCGCAGTTGGCCACGTGACAGTCCAGTGATGTCACCATCATGCCATCCACTGGTCCCATGACTGCTCAGACTTAGAGCTAGGTCTTCAGCACAGGGAATCCTCTCTCGGTCTGCTGGTTCCCACAGTGGTTAGTATCCACTACATAAAGCATTTGCCATCACGCAGGACTGTATGCTTCGTGTATAGGTTTGTGCTTCGTCGTACCCCCGTAGTCGTGGTTAGGTTAACGATTACACCGGGTCTATGTTGCTGTGTCGTGGTGTGTCGTCACTTTCTGGCACTCGCCTGATGTATGCTTTTTGTGTGGATAGACTTACATCACTCTACTGTGGCATCACAGGGTGTTTATTTTTAAACATTTATTTTTTTTTAAATGTTTTATCTTTTATTTATTTAATTTTATTTATTCATTCATTTAATTTGACTAGAGAGAGATACAGAGAAAGAGAGAGAGCGAGGAAAAATGAGAAGGCAAGCCACCAAGTCTGGGACTTGAACCATGGTCGGCCGTGTGGGAGTGTCCAGCACCTTAACCACCACGCCACCTGCTGGTCCCCCACAGAGTATTTATTTAAAGTTACAAGCCCTGTGGCACCATGACACACCACAAGACATCTCTCTTTAAGCTTGTCGCTTATCGACCAATTGGCTTAGTGACCTAGTCATAGAACGGAACTTGGCTTTAGTGAAGGGTGCCTGTATTTTTATCCTTGACTCTTTATGAAGTGGTTGGAATAATAACCTCTCTCCCATAAGTGACCATGCCTCCTCCCGACAGATTTCTTCTTGAAGCATGGCGTGGCCGTCATGACTGTGCGAGAACTCTTTGAATTCGTCACAGACCCGTCCATTACCCAAGAGAACCTGGATGCTTACCTCTCGAAGGTAAGATGGGACCAGGAAGGAAAAGAGAGAAACTAAGTGAGAACTGGCATTTGTGTGACGCTGTTGAGGGTCTCAGATCGCATTGTGTCATTTATTGGTCTGACAGCTTCCTGAGGCCCTTCCCCTCTACTTCACAGATGGGGACTCAAAAATGGAGCCAAGCAGCCAGTGGTAAAGCCGTCATCGGCAAGATCACAGGCCGTCAAATTCATGAATGTTTCCTAAGAAACTTGTTTGGTTTTTGACCATTAGTTTTTTCCCCTTGTTTTTATAGGAGCTTTTTTTTTTTTTTTTTTTAGGTTTTTTCCTTAGGGCACATCTGTGGCGGGTTTTTTTGGAAAGAGGAAATGACACCCCAGGGAGGGTGGCCGCACCACAGTCCGTCTCTCTTCTCCTCCTGGGGTCTTGGGCACGCATGTACATGCGCTGAGCATTGAGTTCCAAGCCACGTGGTCCAGGATTCTAACCGTAGTTGGCCAGCTGGGAGTTCAGCAACATAACTGCTACACTATCTGATAGTCCCATTTAGGGCCTTTCTCAGTCATAGATTTTTTTTTCTTTAATTGTAGTAAAATACTCATAATGTAGAATTTAAGATAAAATGCCTTTTTAAATTTTTTTAAGTTTTTGCCACAGGGTATGTGCGCTCACGGGAGAGAGACAGAAAGAGGGAAAATGAGAAGTCACTCCCCAGGGCGGATGGCCACGGTGTAGTTCCTTCTCCTCCTCCTCTCTCATGGTTTTGGGCACGTGTGCACATGTGCCCGGCATGATTTTTTAAGCCACGAGGTCCTGAATCAAACTGAGGTCCACCATATAGGACTCTAGCACCTTACCCACCACGCCACCTGTTTTTCCCACAGTGTGGTCATTTTTAAGTGTAGTCCTCCCTCTGTGTCCATGGGGGATTGGTTCTGGTGCCCCACTCACCACCAGGGATGCCCAGATCTGTAGATGCTCAAGCCTTCTTATGCGATGCCATAGTGCTGTGTGCGACCCTCCTACATCTTCGAGAATACTTTACATGAGCTGTTACTTACAAGTAATCTTAGCATCAACTAAAAGTGAAAAGGAAAAATGTGTGGGTGAACTTCAGCGTACTTCTCTGTTTTTTAAAGGGAGAGGGAGAGAGAGAGTCATCCCATCAGTTTTCCTCTAGGACCCACCTGCAGTGTGAGCAGCTGCACATCATGAGCAAGCTCACCCGGCATGCTCAGGGAGGTCTCTGCGTGTGGGCCCAGAACCTTCTCATGCGGCCTGGACTCTCAGAACATTGGGTTTTTTACTGCCATGCCACTGTTCAGCCCCTGTCATTAACTGTTGCACCAGATTCTATTTTTTTTTTCTTTTGAGAGATTTTTGCTATAGGGCATGTGCGCTTGTCAGAGAAACAGAAATCAACTCCCCAAGGGGATGGCCACACTGCAAATCCCTTCTCCATTTTCCTCTCAGGGTTTCGAGCCACCAGGTCCGGGACTGAAACTGCAGTCGGCTATGTGGGCTACTTTCAGGAGTGCAAAGGGGTGGTACCTATAAAGGTCGGAACAACTTTATGCTAACACGGAAATGGGTGTGTCTTCCGTAGGTTGACGATGAAGGAAAATAACTTTTGTTTTCTCTCGAAGGCCATGGAAATAGCATCTCAGAGGACCAAGGAAGAAAGGTCTAGTCAAGACCATGTGGATGAAGAGGTAGGATTGACTGTGTGTTGGGAAACCCTTGCATTTTGAGATCTTTATTTTATATTTCTAGAGCATGAACTTGATGTTAATACAAAGCAATTTTTTAATGATAATAGTGTTCTCTTGAGACATAATTGTTACATAATTTAACTGAACCAAGTTGTGCAATTGACGTTCTGTTGTGTTGTTTTGTCCAACAACATATTAGCCCATCTTACTAGACAGGGAACATTTTTTTAAAGAATTATTTCATTTAATATCATCGTTACTATTTGTTTAATTTGACTAGAGAGGGACAGAGAGAGAGGAAGGGAAAGTGGGAAAGGAAGCCTCTGGGTCCAGGACTCGAACCGTGGTCAGCCATGTGGGAGTCCAGCACCTTAACCACCGTGCCACCTGCTGGCCCCAACAGAGAAGACTTTTGAAGACTCTTTTGGAGTACATGAGGCAAGAAGGAAAAGCCTGTTTTAATGTGCAAACATGAATTTTTAAATTACTTAAGTGTTGACCCTAGGTGTGGGGGTGCCCTCTCCGGTGCGGGAGAGAAAGCACACCCTTGACAGGGCTTCATCGTACCGTGACCCCATTTCCATATCGTAGATTTAAAACATCTACGTTTTGGTAAAACGTTAGGTTACCACAGCCTAAAGAGGCAGGATATCGTCTGAAGGTGTCTTAGGCCATCTTCGCTGCAGCATGTGGTGTGAGGGAGGGATGCGAGCAGGTGCGTGGCTGTGTCGGTCCTGTCCCTGCCCTGTTCTCACGGTGGCAGCCGAGGAGGTGACGTGCCGTGGGGGAACAGTTCCTCGCCAGGCACAGCCTGACAAAGTCCCTTCCCTCCTACTCAGGAAAGCTATGAGGCCACAGATGAAGTGGGTAACAATGATTTAAGCCTGGCTTCTAATCGGTTGTAATTTTTTTTTTCTTCCTTAAACCAAAGCACCACCGCGCGCCCTGTTTTAGCCGCAGTAATGGTGCATTGCTGGCACAGCCACAGCAGACGCAGCCATAGTGCGTGCTGGCAGCCTGGCTAGAGGCACTGCTGAAGATGGTGGTGGCTGAGGACGCGTCTGCTGCGTGGTGGGGTGGGGAGCCGACCGAACGGGAGAGAGCAGTGATAACCCGTGTGCTAACCATGTTCGCTTCGCTCTTCCTCGCTGTCAGGTGTTCAAGCGAGCGTACATTCCCAGGACCTTGAATGAAGTAAAGAATTACGAGAGGGATGTGGATATCATAATGAAGCTGAAGGAAGAGGACATGGCCCTGAATGCTCAGCAGGACAACGTGAGTAGCGCGGTTGTGTAGCAAGCAGGGCGACGCAGAAGGGGCTGCTCCAGACGCGTCCGGGCCTTACAGTTGCTCTCATTTGATGGCCGACTTCTGAGCTGGCCAGGCGGCTACTTTCCTTCGCATTAACACGCACAAAGATGGATGTAAAGAGGGCTCAGTGGTATTCGTGAGAGGGCGTGGCGCATTGGAATGAGTCCATCAGGCTAATTATAGGGAAAGGAAGAAGCGTATGGAAATCTAGGCTGTAGATCTTTTTTTTTTTGAGAGGTTTTGCTATAGGGCGTGTGCACTCACCAGAAAGATAGAGAGAGACAGAGAGCGAGAAATCACCCCCCAGGGGGGATGGCCACGCCACAATTCCTTCTCCTCCATTCTCCTCTCGGGATCTTGGACCTGCATGAACATGCACCCAGTGTGAGCTTAAGCCACCGGGTCCTGGACTCGAACTGTGGTTGACTACATGGGAGTCCAGCGATATAGCCATTACCCCAACGGCTGGTCCCTAGGCTGTAGATTTTTTTCCCCTTTAATTTGCCAGAGATGATGTGTGCTTGCCAGACAGACAGAGAGAGAGAGAGAGAGAGAGAGAGAGGGAGAAAGCAACCCTAAAAGGGGTTGACACCCTTGATGACACCCTTCTCCTCCATTTCTCCATTTTGGGATCTGAGGTACTCACACCGTGTTTCTTCTAGGGCTGAGATTCAAACCACACCGTCACCCATGTGGGATCTGGGTCCCCTTACCACTAGACCACAGGACTGGTTTTACTACAACCAGGGTCTTCAAAAATTTCATGGAAGACGCACATTGGTTCCATGAATTCTGAAGCATGGTGGGGATATGCATGGATTGTGAAATATATTTACATCAAAATAAACATTTTAATTTCATTTTTCACAATTTTTTGAAGTCGCCCTTGTATATCCAGTGGATGAGAATAACACCCATATTAAATTTTCTATGTTAGTATAAAATAAATTTCAGGAGCCTTTTTATAATCACAGATCTCATTTAGCTCATAGTGTTCTTGAGTGCAGTGTGGGCGTTCCACTGTCTAGTTTTATGCTGATTCTTATTTTCTTCCTTTTGATTTCCAGATACTGTACCAGACCGTCACAGGATTGAAGAAAGACCTGTCCGGAGTTCAGAAGGTAGGGAGAAGGTATTTGATATTGGCTTATTTGAACACTTAGATGTAAAACTTAATGTAAATGATTATAACTAAATTAACGATACGTTATTAAGTATAAATAATTTCAAAGTGTATGGGCATTTCAGAAATACTTTTTTTGCATCCTAACCATCCTATTGAAATTTGAAAATGTATTTGTTTTTAATTCTCTTTGGAATTGTTCTGTGGTTGTAGGTGAAGTTCTTATCTTTCTGTATTCTTGTCTTCATGTGTGATGCTGGTAACGGTAGCCATGTTTTTCTTGATAGTTTTTACAAAAGCCAGTAAGTAACTTGTTGAAGAGCAGCCTCACACACTCCGCAGTCTCGGTGCTGAATTCCCAGTGTGCTTTTTCCTGAAAACACTCTTGTTTCATTCTTCATTCTAGGAGAGCAAAGATTAAGTATTCTACCATAGGCAATAGTAAAGGCAGTTCTTATTGTTTTTTAGTCATTTCTTTTTTTAAGAATTATTTTTAAATTTTTATTTATTATTAGTGTATTTTGCAATAGGACATGTGAGCTCAGCAAAGACACACACACACACACACACATGCACAGAGGAAAGAGAGAAAGCAAGTTAGCAGGTCCAGGACTCGAACCACCGTTAGCCATGTGGGAGTCCAGCACTGTCATCACTACATCACCTGTTGACCCTTTTTTAGTCTTAACAGAAGGCATAAATAAAGAATCAAAGTTTGCTTTTTGATAATTGTGACTTTTCTGTGGGAAGAATTGAATTAGGGGAATTTCAGTGTTCTACATCTTTGAATTATATGTCAAAGATACTATAGTGAATTCTGCTTTGAATTCTGCAGCAATGGGAATGTGTTGGAATTGGCTAGAAAATCTTACACAGTTTTTTTTTCCTCCTTTTTTTAAATGAGAGAGCTAGAGGGAAAGATTTCTTTCTTATAAAACAGAAACTTCACTCTTTGACAAAGTAATTTCTGCTTCTTTAAATATCTGCCGAAGAAAATAATGAAAATTTCTCTTTTCATTGGCTATTATTGTCTTCCCTCTCAAATAAATTAGCTTATTTTTAGAAACTGTGGTTCAGAGAAAACAGCTGTGCAGTCTTTTTTTTTTTTTTGTCTGTCTGTGTATTCCATGTCTTTGGCCCTCTTGATTATTAAAGGAAGCAGAACACTTCTGTAGTTGAGCTTGGTCATCGAAAGCCTCGGCTCCTTCATTTGGGTGCTCTCAAGCCTTACTGGCATGGCAGCTTCGAGCCTTTCCCTGGCATTGACTCTGTGGCTCCAGCGTTTCAGTTCAGGGTGGTATTTGTCAAAGCACATCTCCAGGGCTAAAATCCGAATTCTGGCATGAACACGTCTGATGACAGCAGCTCCCTGACTGGGTTAGGATAACACGGCTCTGTGATCACTTCAAGGTCCCAGCACTCCTGGAAAAGCAAGTGGAGGCGAAGACTGGTTCTGATTCGGAAGATGCCGGAAGCTCTGAGTGCTCTGACACCGACTCTGAAGACGCGGGGGACCACGTCCGCTCCAGGAAGCACGCCACTGACCCTGACGTTGATAAAAAGGTTGGCCAAGAACGCACATTCCCTTTTCCTTGTGGTAGCACCATACTCGTGTCTCACTATGTGGAGCCGGTATGATGGTTCACGGACGTAAGTGTGCACTTGGGCTTTGGTGGTGGCATCATCTAGAACTCGCGCTGCTCTTCAGAGCTCGTAGGGCACCTCAGAGAGAGAGAAGGTGGATTCAGTACGTCGATGGTTCAGTGGGTCCCTGTGGCATTAAGGCTGGCCCCTGGTCAGGTACTGACTAGCCACTTCAGGGAGGATTCACAGCCCAGCCTGAGCTTTTCAGAGTCTGACAAGACTCGTTAGCACCTAGTCATAGACGTAAGTGGCACTCCCGATTGACTGCTATGTAACTGCTAACCTTTTCTCTTAGTTTAATTTGAACTTTTAATTTTTAAAGAGAGATTTTTTGCTATAGGACGTGTGCAATCACCAGAAAGACAGACAGTGAAAAATCACCACCACCGCCGCCCCCGGGGGAGGGATGGCCATGCCATAATCCCTTCTCCGTTCTCCTCTTGGGATTTTGGGCACATACGCACATACACCTGGAGTGAGTTTTAAGCCTCCGGGTCTGGGACTCAAACCATGGTTGACGACATGGGGATCCAGCAACGTAACCATTACGCCATCTGCTGGTCCCTATACACATTTTTATTTAGCTATAATAATACTATAAATACTCCAGGTGATAATAGTAGTATAAATATTCCAGATGAGTGACATTTGTGATTTTTTTTTTTTTTTTTATAGGAAAGGAAGAAGGTGGTCAAAGAAGCCCAGCGAGAGAAAAGGAAAAACAAAATTCCGAAACATGTGAAAAAAAGAAAGGAGAAGACAGCCAAGACGAAAAAAGGCAGATAGAACGGGGACCGCATGACATCCGGTCGCTTTCCGTCGGGGCTTTTCTTAGCTGAACTCCGAGCGTCATCTGGGAAAGGGCTTACCAACTGTAACTGGTGTGCCGCACAGCGCTGTCTCCGAAGGCTCCTTGTAGGTTTCCATGTAATTATGTAAAAAGCTCTACACCCTGGCGTTACAGCCAGTCACCACCGACTGCTATTAACAGAGGGTTTATTTAAGCTATTTTATATCTTTTTTTTTTCTTCTTTTTTAGTTTTGCTACAGGGTGTGTGCACTTGCTGGAGAGAGAAGGAAAGTGACAAAGCACCATGGGGATTGGTCATGCCACAGATCTTTCTTCTCTTGGAATTTTGGCCATGTGTGCACACACGCCAGGCATGGTTTTCAAGCCACCGAGTCCAGGACGTGAGCTGAGCAGTCAGTCATGTGGGATCCAGCCTTAGCCTCCCAGCCATATGCTGGCCCCCTTT